AACTTTACATATTTTTTTAGGATTTAATGACATTGAACCGCAGAGAACCAGAGAAGTCAGTAGTCTCAACAATCCTTTAACCTGCTTTCCTCTGATCAACTTCATAATTTAGTCTCATTTGTTACTTCTTATCCACACAAGATTGTTCACACTTGTGCTGATGTTGTAAGTGCACTGAGGTCTGCTCCAAAAACGACAGCAGAAAAGGCAGCCTCACATAGACCTGGTAGTGTGGGAGAGGCACCATTTTGTTTAATTTAGCACTGAAAAATAAAATAAAAATAATAAAAAAAATCCCACCAGCATTAAGGCATACGGAAATCAGTGTGCTCTATTCTTGTGTTAGTTTTACTGGAAAAAATGGCCTCTAAAAATCACCTCCCCTACATATAAAAATAGACTGCTTCAAACTGAATCATACTTCTGAAAATGTAAGACTATCATCTCTTTTTTTCTCCAGCCAGAAAATGGGGATGGCAATACTTATATACCTCTGGGACGCACTTTGGATAACAAAATCCTAACCACATGTAAAATATTCTCAAAGAAAATCATTATTTGCCTAGTGATTTGCTCTTATTGGTCTGAAAAAAAAAAATCTCCACGCAAATTTTGGACCATCACACAGAGTTTATTTTGAAAAAAGAAATCAAAGGATGTTTTTTCCATCTCTGAGCCAGATGGAAACAAAAAAACCAAATGTACTCCATCCTAAGAAAGGAAACACATGAGAACTTGAATTTTTTTTTTTAGCAAAGATTTTTTCTTTTTTTTTCAATAAACTCCATGGAAAAAGTGAAGCGGAGACAGTGACCGAACGAATGGCTTCTGGTCTTAGGAAGACCTGGGTTGCGGTACAGCGGTTTTGGCCTCCCAGCATGACGCTTTCCTGCGTGCAGACGCTCGTATCAGTCCCGAGCGGACGCGGTGAGTGCTGATAGCAGCCAGGCCGTGGTGGTGGTGGTGGCCCCTTCTCCCTGCAGAGGCAGGCAGGGAAAGCCAAGCAAGGCCGGAGCCATGGCCTGGACACACTCTGTTCCTGTTGGACACTGCAACTGTGCAAGAGGCTGGGCTTTCAACCCGGGAAGCTACCCAGGGCCTTGGAGAGCTTTTGTTTTCCCACACGTGGATAAACTCAACCTCCTCCGCAGCCTTTCCCCTACTTAGTGCCTTTGACAGCCAGCGGCTGCCCTGGGCCCGGCTCCTCCGCTCGCCAGCGATCGCAGGCTGATCCCTGCTACTTGCTAAAAGCAGAGGAGCTGTTTGCCAGGAGTGGAAAATTAAAAGAGGAGCTCAGCGTTTTGGGAGAGAAACGGAAACAGCGAGATTAGATTAGCTGTCAAAAACAGTCAATTTAAGTTAGACGTAATAAGGCTAATCTAGGGACTGCTCCACTGAAGTGGGGGCATCACAGGAGGGACGGGATGGGACACCCGTTCGAGGAGTTTTGCATTCTTCTTGCAGATAGTGAACTTTAAGAGGGGCCTCAGAGGCATTTTGTCTTCTGTACAGCTTAGCCATTTAAAACCATGTTCCCAGTATCTCCGTGTGCAAGAGCTGTGTACTAAAACTGCCATTAAGAGCTAAAATAGCCATGGTTGTGCTTAGAACTAGCTGTGAGAGCAGATAGGCTTAAATTACAATACTTTGTTCTTCATCCATTTGATTACCAATACTTCTGAAATGTCTCTGAGCCATTGTACACACCAATGGACACATTCCACTTGGTCACAAGCAGGCACAGAATAAGCAATATCCACTTCTGTGTCACCACTCTCCGTGACACTATTGCATTTATACCTTTATCAGCACAATTGCACGCATCCAAATGGGTCTGAAGTTGGAAGATTGTAAGTTCAAAGCTGCTGAAGGTGAATCACAATAAATTTAATGAGATGAGTCAGTAATGATATTAAGAAATCCAGCCCTGGAAGATGTCAGACCCGGTGACTTTGCACCCTCTCTCCCTTCCCCTCCACTTTGTGCAGCAGGCGCAGTGCTTGCCAGGGAGGGAAAATATGCTCTCAGCAGGCTTGCATGTAGTTTGATGTAAAACACGGAAAAGCACGATGGAGATATGTCCTCAACATGCCAAGTTACAGTAAATGTGTATGAAGCCAAAACTCTTAGCTGGGACAAAAGAACCTCCTATCACTTAAAACTTTCCGCCCAACCTGTGTTATCGTTCAAGCCATCCAGCAAGCAGATTTCACAGGGACGTTTTCCAGACCCCATGCGGCAGCTCTGACTTCCATGACAACTTCTTGGCCTTCTCTGTGGTCCTGCTTGCATCCCTGCCAATCCCTCTCCTTGCTGTGACATTTTCTTGAGCTGCCTGAATGCTCCCCCAGCTCTCACAGCAATCTCAATCTTTGTTGCCATCCGACACCTCCTTTTCCTGCTTGCAGAAATACTGAATCAGAAAGATGGTCTGCCTTGGCTGGCCTGCCTACTCCAGCCAGATTTTAAGGATGACTGAATGCGCCAGGCATGCAATCAAAGCATCCATCTCAGGCCAGTTTTGTCTAACACCTACTCTCTTTGCTTCCAGTGCATGAACAGGCTGCTGGAGACCAGGCACATTTTGTTTCTCAGCTAAAGGTGGATAATTGGAAACAGTGTGATATATAATTACAAGCCAGAGTCGAAATTCACTTTGAAATAAGTATTTAATGTGTAAACATCACATCCTTCAGTTGGCCTCGTTCAATGACTATTTGTGTGCTACTGCCCAGTTTAGCATAGCTGCTGTGTGAAGTTTTAAGAAGTTAAGGGGGCATTGCTGATAAATGCTCCAGCCATTTTTGTAGCTTTATGTAGTTATATGTACAGCTACAGCCATTGATCATGACTGCATGGTGGTGTTGGAAGGCATGATATGACTCCCAGATTATCTCATCTTTAGATGTACCATGATCCCCACTGCTGAAGCAAGAGAGAGATGGTGTCTTTTGGATAAGCACAGAGCTAGGAAACAATAAATCTGGGGCTTAAATAGAGGTTGTCACGAGTTTCTTGGGTGGACATAGGTCTAGCACTTGAGTAACAAGCAGCAAGTACTTCATTTAACTCCCTGGAAGCTCAGGATTTGCCAAAGTATGCCAGTCTTCACAATGAAGATAGCAGTGCTTTTCTGGATCAGTGTGGTTCTGTGAAGGCCATTCACCGAGGTTTATGAGGCTCTCTGAGAACGCAAGTAATACTGTTGTACCTTAAAATAGCTAAAAATAGCAGTTCAACATTGTCTCTACAGGCACTTGAGTAAGTATGTATGTAAATGCTACTTCACTGGCCTTTCACTTGCCATCAAATGTATGCGATTTTTATTTTGTTCCTTTCTCATATCTCATAGGTACCACCAGAGAGATTCCCATATGTAGCTTTTGGGGCATTTTTTTCAAGTAAAAACTATTAAAAAGTTCCCCACAAACAAACAGTGAAGGAGTGCAGAACTGAGTGAAGCTGCAGCCTTTACTTGGTTGTTCTTGGGAACGGTATCCGAAATCCAAAATCTTGTCGCTTTCCAACAGCGCTGGAGTATTTCAACAAGCTTATCCACACTCAGCCAAGGTAAATGAGAGGTCAGGAGGCAATGCAAAAACAGCTCTCTTCTAGGGGAAACCAGAACAACTTCCTTCATGGTGGTGGCCATATGAAGAGCGTAAAAACGGGGAACCAAGAACAGGGTTTCTGCTAACAAACGGGCTGCTAATTTTCTTAATTCCTGATAAGTTGCACTGCTGCCTAAATGACAGCTCATGGGATTGCAGAGGAAACTGCCTGGGTGATGGTGTCATCTCATTAGGCACACTGTGTTCCCTTTGGTAGCGTATGTTATTTTCAAGGGTGTTTGGGAAATAAGTACTGGTCCAAGGAAATAATGAGATCAGTTTACAAAGCACTTTAGAGAAATGCAATTTGATTATACTTTTCTGAGTATGGCATGTTTTTTATTACCAATTTTTAAAATCTATCTTAGAAGGAAATGTATTTCAGCATGTGCAGCTTTTTTGCTACTAATCTTATAAAATTTTTCATCTGGACAGCACCAACCAGGGTAGAATTCCCTACGACTATGGAGAAGGAATGAAAACATTTCAAAATTGCTATAATAAGTCAGCGATGTACGTCTGTGGCATTTTTTTTCAAGAATGGAAGAAAGGCAGGAAAAGAAGAATGAAGGTAGGAAGGAAGGAAAGTTAGAAAGAAGGAAAAGTATTAGTCTGGACTTTGCATAGTACCCTGATGTAAAACTGACTGTGATCAGAGCTATAATGAATATCTAGTCCTTAGTCAACTTCATTGTTACACACATAGGCAAGACTAGCGTAGGAAAACGCTATCTATCTAAAATGTGCTTTGAAAGTTATTTAACTGGAGCAATTCATCTGGGAAAACACAAATATTTCTAACCAGCAAAATATTTCTCTATAGCTGAGCTAGGCCTGGTAGCAAACCTTAATGAATTATTAGTACCTTTATTGTTTTCTTTGGCTCCTGTGCACTATATTTGTAAAAAAAAAAAAGTCAGTAAAAAAGAGAACAATTGTAAAAAGCAAATATTTTGTACAAAAATACAAAGTTTTAAAAGCTCTTAAAAGTATATTCCATATTATTGATAAGAGTTGGACTATATATATATATTTATATAAAATCTATATATTCGTGTATCTGTATAATTTTCCTACATTTGGGATTTTAGCAAATGAACATACTGTTCACACAGTTGCTTTATATGTTTTTCTATAAATGAATGACCAACAGTCTTAAACAGATTGACAGAAAGTCTTTTCTCCAAAGACAAAGTTACTTATGTATGTAGTTACTGGTTGGGAAGAAAATCTATAAATGAATTAGTCCAACTGTATTTCTGATAAGCTCCTGATATTGTGGGTTGGAAGCCCTGGAATAGTTTCAGGATGCTGAAGAAGAGTTGCTGTTGAATTCCACTTAGAACAGTTTTCAGTGCTTGCTTTATTTTTTTCTGTTTTGGCAGGAGATGTTGATCTCTCCCACGATCTTTCTTCTTCTTTAAGGAGAGTTCCATAATATGAAGATATCTGTAAATTCGCAGCCTCTTACACTCCAAATATTTGCGCTATAGTAAGAGAGAAAAAATAAAAATAAAAATAAACAGGCAAACGAAAACACATAAAAAGTATAAATGTTTTTCCAAAAAGGAAGCTTACTGAGATTGTGGTATCTTAAAAAAATTAAGGGAACTCCCAAGCAATTTCTGTTAAGTGCAGGAGGAGAAATATCTATAAAGCATAAAGTTTTGCTGAAACAACATTTTTATAGGAAGGGAAGAGCTCCTTTCACTGCTACTTGACGTCCTTCAGTCTAGGCACCCACATGGAGCAAAATGCATTTAACACGAACTCTCAAAATAGGGTCTATTTTGGAAGGCTGGTTCCCAAGCCATCGCAAAAAACAGATCTGCCCACTGCACAGCCATTGGGTCCACAAAAGCAGCCTGCAGGCTGGCAGCATGGCCAAGGTTTGCAGCACACATGCCATATCCTGCCTGACGTTTTAGGTACATTGAACATCTCCAGAAGATGGTCAAGATTCAGAGCATGCCATGTTACGGCCAGCCTGGAGGCTGGCCTTTCAGGGTGCAATATATAGAGAGCATGTATTGCACAGAGTATTAGAAAAGCTCAAGCTATCCTGGAGATGCATAGAAGAGGTCTAAGGGTGATACTCTTTTCCTCAGCAACACATTTCTATAGCATACAGCCATTTATCTGGATCTTCTTCCCTCTAGCTGCGTGAAATGTACTTGAATTTGGCCTGCTACAGGTAGGGTGAAATAATCAAATGGAGTACTTGCTCACCTTTGTCCATGTCTTTTTCACAAATGAAATTGTTAACATCTTCACAGTAAAAGTCATTCCAGAACCCAGCGTAGATTAACCCGGCGCAATCTTCCCCTGGCCCGTGCCCATGGCTCCAGTTATCAGGTTGCCCAGTTTTCCAGTTTCTTTCAACAGAAGAGCAGTAGATATTATTGCACAATGCAGCCCACATGACAGTTTTTCACCACAAGAAAATTAGCAAAAACATCATGAGATCTGTTCCGAACGGGAAATACATGTTGAAACAAACAATACATGACTCTTGCAGAAAATGGAAAACAGATGTATCACAGGGATGGGAATCTATTCAGCCCTAGGCTGCCAAAGGCTCCAAGATCTAAAATTAGACCAGTGAACTTTATTTTGGTTTCTGAATGTACATACACATACAGTGCTCCATGCACGCTGCTCCAAACCTGCTCCCTTCATTGCTGCCGGCAGATGGGACTAGGAATACCCGGCACGCTCCCAAGACACACAGGATGATAGGATAGACTGTGGAGGTGCTCAGCACTCCGGCTGCACTGAGACAGGCCTCTCTGAAGGCACTAAAGAGATTTAGCTTTTTTCCAGGCCTATGTTTGCATGGGACGTGAATTTTCAGACCAACACATAATTAGCAAAGTCTATGTACACAGATCTTCTGAGATCAAAAAGCCTCGATGGTGCAATTTAATGCAGTATGTGAAGACCTTACAGCAAATGTTTCCTCCTCATCCTGTTTTTTGTTTATAAGGAAGACAACATTGGGACTTAAAAGCTCCGTTTTCTTGAAGAAACAGGTTGTTGAACTGAGCTTGTGATTGCTGGCTGATATGGTCTGTATTCAGCTAAAAAACATGCCTGCCTGACAGAGGGTTTGAGTACACACCTGGGAAGACACACAGCTTTCCAGAAATAATTAAATGTTTCAGAAATCTGTAACTGACAGCTCAAAGGTTACTACAGGCCACCTAAAACCACAGTGTGGTGGAGACCTAGTGGAAGTAGTAGCTGAAGCAGGAATCAGTCACAACGCTGCCATAAACACAGAGAGATGAAGGGTAGGAGGGAGGAAAAGGGAAAAGTATTATGGCTCATTTGAAATACATCTGACTTTTTCCATATTTCTCATCAAAATGAACACCAATGAGATCACAGCTAATCATTTCATAACATCTGCCTGTTTTCCTGGAGCACAGCATGCTCAGTTCTATAAATTCTTTAGTCCACTCTCAGTATTAAAAATTTGGGTGGTTGCAATCTGTTCTATTTAGGACAAATTAGGTGTAGCCCAATGATTCCTGGAGAGCTGCCAATTCTATTCTCAGCTGGCCAAAGCTCAGACAACCTTATTTCATGCCTTTTCCTTATGTTTAATGTTTTCCACTTGGATTTGGGCTTTATCTAAAGGCCAGTCATTTTTTATCAGTGAGCACTCTATTTATAGCCAGTTGAAATGCAAATAAGGAAAATTCAAACCAAGACAGAAAAAAAACTCAGAAAACAACTGTCTGTGCTTCCCATCTCCACTTTGTAATAAAAGTCAGGAGCAAATGTTTTGGCAAGAAACATGGGCTGCGTAGTTATGCGATTCTTTCATCCAAATTTTCAGTTTTCCTCTTGGTGAGGAAATAAAGTATTGTGTATGGCAAAGGGAGAGAGAAATAAATAGTTCAGTGGCACCTTAAGTAAAGGATTAACAACAAATTTCTGAATTCACTGGATAATTTCTAGATGTTGCTCTGAGAACTATCAGTAATAATAGTTGCATCTGCACAGAATAAACACCACTGCTCTTTATTTACGTACGTGTAAACCGGTAAGGATCCATCCAGCCATCTCCATTCATTTTCCTTCTCTGAATCTGTAAGTCCAATCCAGAAGCTGCCTTTCCCAAGAATCTGCCTTTTTATCCATTGCTGTGGAAGAAAGATCTCAGTTCAGAACAAACAAACAGGACCCTGTTCAGAGCTAATGGGTGACTCTTGCTTGTGGAGCATCTCTCTTATCAGATCAGGAAAGGCTAAAGAGATTTTTCTGAGCTGAGGATGTTTCATGAGTTAGCTCTGCAATCCCTTACTTTATATATATACACACAATATATATAATATAATATAATATAATATAATATAATATAATATAATATAATATAATATAATATAATTCCCCTCCATAATGTTGTTTGCATGTGAAACAAAAAGATAATCATGAAAAGTATCTTGATATAAAGCCACAGACAACCTCATATAGGTATATATGAAGGAAAAAACAGCAAGGAGTAAGCAGTTATATCTTGGTGTTCCCACTGCTACATAGCCATGAAAAAAATATCTAGCACAGTAATTAAAACATAGCTATATCTAGAACTAGATAAAAACATTTGTGAGCCACAAAAGTAGTCCTAAGCTGTGTGTTTTACATGAGATAATATATACATATATTTTCAACACTGCCAGAAAAATGTATTTCAATAATATGCAATGTACAATGGACTTCATCTTCAAAGGTTCAAAACTCCTTAAATTCTCACCAACTTGCCCATGTACTCAATGTGCGTTGTGCTCCACTCGCACTGAACATGGACTAGCTGCTGAGGTGCCAACAAGTGGATAAAATGCTACCTGGAGCCCATCACTGTGTCTACTTCCCTGTGTATGAATTAATGATGCTTTCAGCTTCCCACTTGCCCTGTAGCTTCCACATGCAGAATCCCCTCAAAGCCTCTCTGTGAAAAGCAAAAAGAGAAGTTACCTGTTCCTCTTTGTTGTCTATGATAACCAAGCGCGACGCCTTCTCTTCACAGAATAGCTTTGCCTCTTCAAAAATTTCTCTTTCATTTGAAAAGTAGTAACACTTTTCTGTAAAGTTCTTCCAGTGAGGAGAACAACCTGTGGTGTGAAACTTTGGTGTTAAACTAATTACTGATAAATCAATGAGTCAGCAGTATCTTTCTGCGTGGGTCTAAAACTCAGTGGAGGGTTACCCACCCCTCTACAGCACGGTATTGTCCAAAATACTTGGAGAACGTGCTTACCAGGAGCCTGACTCAGAGTATGAAACCAGCATGACCAAGGGGATTTATTGCTACTGCCTTCTCTTTAGCTGTAGATATTAAATCTGTTTCAGAGCATTGGAAGGAAGACCAAGAAGGTGTTCCTTATTAGGAATCTCAGCAATTAAGTAGATACTCATGCAACAGAGGTGATCTTAAACCAGTATCTCACTGCTGGGCACTCTCCATTAAATAGATTCGTATCTCAGTAGCAGAGTCCACGCGGTGTTTAAATAGCTTACCATTAGCCTCAGGCACTGATGTAGGTTCATTCTGTA